TTTTTAGGAAAAATTAGTTTTTGAATAGTGATTGACGTGAGAATGTGTGGTGGAAAAGTGATGAAAAGTTTTAGATTTATGTGTAATATTATTTTATTTGGAGAATATGTGATTAAAATGAGTACTATAAAAAAATGAATGAAAAAAAAGGAGAAAGCATGGGGCTCAAACATGGGTTTAAATCTTGTTACCTTCGATAACACGCGTCCATATTAGCAATAATAATCATAAGTACAAGTCAAGCAAACACAAATTAACCACTAATTTTATATGATGTCAAAAATAAAAAATTAATATGTCCATTTCAAAGTGACATAATTATAATCTAGAAACTAGAAAAAAAAAAATGTGTAGTTTATTGGAAAAAATTTATTTCTTTCTCATAAAAATCATATGAAAAAACCATTCAAGAATATGCGAATCATCCACTTCATTATGTAATTTTTTTACGTGGTTCGATTACTACATCTATATAAAAAATTAACTGGAAAAAGGTAACAACTATGTCAAAGTATTAAGGGACGTTTGGTAAGATTTCTATTTTTGTTTTTGCTTCTCATAGAATAATTTTGTTAAAAAGTTACCTTAGACTAACTTCATCTAAAAACCCTCATAGCCCAATAAAACGTCTTTGAAATCAAACATGTTCAAAAAACGATTTCTAATCTCTTAGGTGACTTTTGACTTTTTAAAAACTCTACCAAATTAGTCCTAAATATGTCTTATTCCAAAACTAGATAGAGTCGATTTTTTTTTTTTAATCTTTTCTCGTTGTCTCACTTACTCAATTTTGTGTCGATTAGAAAATCGAAGCAACTACATTGATAATTATATTGTGTTGTATGTCAAGAGAAATGCTATTCATCCTCACTGAGGATGGATCCTCGGTCTATGTGACGTTAATGTGAACGAAAAGAATGAAAAGAACCCCCAGTTCTCTTTTAGGTTAAAAAATTAGATCGCACCAAATTTCACAGCAAGTAAAAATGCAATGACAAAAAAATGAAAAACTAATGATAACATATTTACAGCAGTAAAAAATAAATATTTATTGAGTTCTTTTTTTTTTCGCATGATTAATTTACTATTTTACGTTTCACTTCTTTGAGATGAACTTCTCCAGAAACCAGCACCATAAAATTTCTCCCACATTTCCCTCTCTAATTGAGCAACATCGCTGTCCAATTCCAGTGCATTCACCATCGCCACCGGGCCGGACATGGTGAGAATTTGAAGCTCCTTATCATCGCAACAACACTTTCGCGGCGGCAACCTACGACGGCGCTTCAGCCGCAAAGCCTTGCGGCATAGCCCTGCTGGAAGTTTGTACATGGCGAGCACCAGTAGATTCGCCAGCCCACATGGACAGCAACAGCACACCGCTGCGCATTCAGCCACTGTCCCGCCAGCAACCTCCGCCAAGCTGACTTTCCGGCCGCCACCTCTGGAGGAGGAATAATCTTGGTTCTCCTGCAACAGCTGCCGGCGATCCACAGACGGCGTCGCCGGACGGAGCACAATTTGCCTCGTCATATACAGCTTTCTTTACTTCAGCCAATAAATTAAATTCTTCTGTATTAAACAATATTAGGATCAAGAACAAGAACCAGAACGCTAAGAAGAATTCTATAAAAGAATTATCGAAGATAAGGCGCAAACATAACGTTGCGCCATGGCTTGTGGTTGGCGCCAGAGAAGAGTTGCTCAGAGCTAAAATCGTTGATACATCAAGCAGCCCTCCAAAATGTTTGCAACAAAATTAGTCCGTTACTGACAGATTCTCTGTTTTCCTATGATCAAATGAATATTGAATACTAATTGAAACCTGAGGCGAGAGAGAGAGAGAGTGTGTGTGTGGAATTTGAAGATGGATATGTAACGGAAGGAGGAGTATTTTATTGCAGTATTTGATGGCGATGAGGTTATTATTTAAGGTGGGGAAGACAAGAAGACAAAGGGACAAGAATACGTGAGGCCAAGGTAGTTCAAATGGCTTTCGAGAGGCAGACAATACAAGGTTCAGGAATCCTACTTTATAATCAAATTTTGGGTGCCTTAAAATTTTTATTTATCCTGTTGCATTTTTCTACTTATCAACGAAAAATTTCACCATTGGTAACTACTCTCCAATCTATAGACACCTTGTTGTTACTTATCGACTTATTTTTCTTTGTACCATATTCAATATTTTGAATTTGGTTGCATTGTTGGTATCTAATGAACGAATTCCGTCCAAATGAGCATTAATAATACATTTTTGGAAGAAATTTGAAGAGACGAAAGAAAAAGAGCTGCCGTCCCACCGCTGTCAACCCAATCCATACACTAGCCCTACCCGTAACGCTCCCCCAAAAATTGTCCATGGGTATAAGTCACGTTGCTTAAATAAGAAAACAATAATCAACACGATGATATGACTTTTAAGATGAAACCTTATCCCTCAACGATATTATACGTGGCACCCCCAAGGCCACTAGAACTGCCTTTCTCCCTTTCCAAAAATGTCAAATCAATATGTAGGTATCAATAATAAAATATATAGGCTTCATTTTTCTCAATAATTGAGATTTTTTTAATGCACCTGCAGGAAATCATTTTTAGGAATTGATAAGATTTCTATATTATTTTTTGCACGGTAGGTATTATGCAATGAATTTTGCTCCTTTGCCAGAANGATGACCGACCCTCACAATGAGGGTGGGACCGACGTGGGGCCCGGGCAAATAAAAAATGAAAAAAAAAGTCCCCCTCCCCCCCAATGTGAGAAATCTGTCAGGGGGGGTGTCACTCCCCCCTGGCAATGTAGCATTGCTCTTATGCAATCACTGTATATTAAAAGAGATAAAGTAAATTTTACACGTGTCGCAATTTCTCGTCGTCGTAAAAAAATCCTCCTTTTTTTAAAAAAAAAAAACTCTGAAATTAGTCAAATTTCCAACGTCCTTCTTCTCCATTATATCACGTAACCATCTATTACTCCTCACCCACTTCTCCTCTCCATACCGTTCCCATCATTCATCGATCCACCTTGCTTCCTTCTTTCACTTCCTTCTCCCGCGCCTGTTTTGTTTTCCATTTTCACGCCAACTAAGCAATTTTTCTTGCTGTGATTTTAACAGCAAAATTTACATTTTGTTGAGTAGAAGAAGAAATGGGTGTCGTTCCAGAAGAAGCCATTAATCAATTTGAAGCATTAATGAAGGAATGTATGCTCTTATTGATGTTTATTTTACAAACCCTTTTCTTAATTTCTCTCTCTTTCTATTTATGACGATTTTCTTTGAAAATTTTATTCAGTTGATGAGCCACTCAGGAGAAGTTTTCGATTTGCATTGTTGTCCCTTCTCTTTCATATCAGATGTGTAGTTTCAGTGCAAATATTGAATGAAATCTTGCTGTTACATGGTTTTGAAAATTAGCATTCTTTTTTTGTATCACAACATAATGTCATCATTATTGATGTATTATTTATTCCAGTATTCAGATAGGTAGTTTAGATGATGCTAGAAAGATTTTCGATGGTATGTGTGAAAAAGCAATAGAATTATGGAAGAGAATAGTTGGTAAGTATGTGAGTGGGAGAGTGTTGTTTGATAAAATGCTTAAAAGAGGTTCGTTTTTTTGGTTATGTTACAGCAGGTGAAACTGTGAACGCTAGAGATTTGTTTGGTGTCATGGACTACTATCGTTGGTTGTGTCCCGCACAGAGACTCGTGTCTCCGTGCGAGAATGTGTCTTTGTGCCCGACACGGAGACATGTCGTGTCTCCGCGCTGCACGGAGCCATGCCGTTTCTCCGCGCCGGGCACAGAGACACGGCATGTCTCCTTTTTTTTTTTTTGGGTAACAATAACATTTTAATTTTTAGGTTAGGAAAAAATAAAGTTTAAATGATCTTATTGTAACGTCAAATT